CCGGTATCTGCACTTTTCGTCAGAAAAATGACTTTCAACATTAATACTCACTTTCTATAATTATACAAGCCTTATCATAATTTTTAGGGTCAATTATAGAATTATCTCATTAATCTCATAATTATCTAATTAATTACCTTAATTAGCGGTGCGGGTTCTTACACAATATGTCTTAGAAGAAAGTTACCATCAATTCTCTTGACCAATTCCTTCAACTTAAAAACAAGCCTTTGAATTCTTGGTTGAGCTAATGTATAATGGTCTTGCATACCATCAAGCAACTTTGACAAGCACTAATAGATATCAACCTCTATATTAGATACTTTATTTGGGGATAAATCAAACATTGACCATTATCTATCACTGGTAAATATTGCAACCAATCCAATAACTGCATTATGCATTTAAAATGGGGAAGCTAGATTATAAAGGTCCTTTGTGGTTTTAGCATCTTTTTCCTATTTTCTTTACTCAAGTTATTGTTCTAAACTGCTGTTAAGAAGAAACAAGAGTACATTGGATCAGAGCAATTCTTCACATCATCTGCTGGAAGTGCAAAAATTATGCACCTTAAGGTAACTCACACCATCTTACTGGTTTCTAACGTTGAACCATCCATAAAGATTATCATTCAATAAAATAAAGCGAACCAAATATATGATCAGTCTGAAAATGGACGAAGTTCATACATCATATATACCACCAGTTTATTGGAGCTTAATAAAGAAGGATAACAATAAATGCTACATTGCATATGCTAACCTAAAGCAATAACTCATTTGTCAACTACTTCAAACAAGATTGAGTACAGTATCCAAAGTATAAGTCGCACCTTCTAAACCTTATGTAGCTTTCTTAGCCAAGCTAAGAGCCAACTTTCAACTCAGAAAAAACCTACAACAACGAACACTAGGCTAAAACTAACACCAGGCACAAAAAGTAGGTATCAGTAATATCTAACTATGATTGAAGAATACGCTCTAATGATTTCTGAATTTGTTGTTGTTGGAAGAATGGTAACCTGCTTCCCTGTAATTCTTAAAGGAAAAAACAAGTATGAATCATTGTGATAAACTCATTTTGGGTGTTCATGTGGCTATTCCATAATATATTAACTATCCAATGACGTGGGAATAAAAATAATCTTGAAATGGTAATTAAGCTCGGAACGGTTACCTCTAATTGTTTTTCTCCTCCAATAAATGAAAGCCAATGTTAAAAGCATCACAATAATAGACGAAACAGTGCTCGTGACAACAACCACCTTTTTCGCATCTTTCGCATCTTCATTTGCTTGACACTAAATGAAGTAAATAGTCACTATATGCGGGGGGGGAATCATTTAAGGTAGAAATGCTCAATCTGATGCCCTATTTCTAGGAAGTTAGCTCTTAACTTCAATAATTCCTTGCATTGACGAGATAATGGACACATTCAAGCTATGGACAAGACTTGTAAAGGGACCTACATTTTGGGATAGTGCAAAAAAAATTTCGTTTTAGCAAGAAAAAATATAAATATTGACTATGCGAAGAATAGAATAAAAATTAAGAAAACTAAACCATTACAAATTATAGAAGTAAAATAAGACTTATATTTTCGGATTGTCAGGTAAGAAACATAAAATTCAAACAAAATCAAGTTGCCCAAGTGTTTGCAAGCCAAACATGGCTATTTGTCCTATCAAGTCAAGGAACACAACTTTAATCATACCTTCTCAGTAAGCCATAGGCCTATAACTTAACAGGTTCTATTGATTGAAAAACTAAAAGCCAATTAACAGTAGTCCTGGTCTGCAATAACTAAAAAGAAAAAGGAAATAATTGAAAAAGACAAGAACCTATATGCTAAGTCATCAAAAATAGTTGTTCCTTGTACATCGCAAATGCCCAAACGTCAAGATATGTCCCTCTATGTCAAACCTAGTAACCATATAATAACATTCATTTATTGAATTTTTTCAAGTAACTAAAATGATATTAAAAGAGGAAGAAAGTTAGAACCAATCTAAACCATAAAAGGCCATTTTCTTCAAATTAGCAGCTGGAATAAAAACCCAATAATGTGAACCTAGATTATAAAAGCTCTTTATACATTGTTCTAATAAATTATATAGAGATTTATGGTTGAAAACTTTCACAATAAAGTGTTTCACCATATTTAGTTTTCTGATAGTGGATTTCTGACTTGAGAACACGACAAAAGCAAATGGCAGCCAACAAACAAAAAATAGGACCAAGTATAATTTTCTAAGCAAAAACTACCCAAAACAGAATCAAATGAGTTTAGTTTCCTCCAGAAAACCAAATCAGGTTAAATTAAATACATTAACAAAAAATCAAATTCACATTCGGTCCGATGTCAAACAAAATAATAAAAACAGCCGCATGCATTTCAATTTGCCTCACCACATAATCATTACACTAGAACAGAAATGAATCATGAAAAAGAAAATTGAAAAATTAACATGACATTTTTTAAGATGCCTCACCTGATTAAATACTTAGGGTTACAAAATCCCAATAAGCAAATGCGCTTGTCTAGTTCCAGCACAATTCTACAAAAAAACAAAGGGGAATAACAGAAATAAACATAATAGGATGAAGGAAAACCTCATTAAGAAGGATCAATGAAAAGGGTAGAGGAGGTGGTTGTTTTGGAGAAGGAAGAAACACATTAATTGAGTTCGACAACAGATTTTATGGACAAAATAGTTGTCCATTGCGCGATTTTATAGCAGGTTGAAGCCGTTGATGATGAGATTAGATGTGAGAGTAGCAAGAACAACGTTGCAAGGGTTTAATGTTCTATTTATTGCACAAGACTTGATTTGATTATTTTTTTCTATTTCAAAATGAAAAAGTATTTTGATATAATGGGTTGTTGGCGTAGGGAAAAAAATAAGGAAAATAGGTTTAAGAAGAAAAAATGTGCCTTGTCTCAGTAAATTTAATATTCATTCAAAACCCAACCTGTGTAGCTTATTCTAGACGATTTAGTGGTAATTATTGTTAACCGCCACTGTCACGCCGACATCAAATCCTGAATTAGGCGTAATGGTAATATACTTATAGATAGACATACCATTATCGTAATTCAAATTTAAGAGTTTCTACTGAGTGAACATGAGCATAGCATAATTTTTTACCATAAACTTTAGTTGTTGTGTAAATAGGAAGGAGGATAAAACATAGGAAAGTGCAAAATAATTAAAAACCAAAACCGAACTATTAACAGAACTGAACTGCACTGCACTTAAAATAATTGATTTTACAAACTAGTTCATGAATTGAACTGGTTTTTATAGAACCAGTTCAAGAACCGAACTAGTTTTTAAAGAACTAGTTCAAGAACCTAAACGTTTTCAAACCGAACCGAACCGAACCGTTTTCGAGCCGAATTGAACTGATTTTTTTTTCTTTTTTTTCTTTTCAGAACAGGGTCGATCCGAACCGAACCGAATCGTTTCTAACCGAATCGAATCATTTTCGAATCGAACTGAATCGATTTTGAGGCTAACCAAACCGATTTTAAAGCGAATCGAATCGTTTAAACTAATATGGTTCAGTTTTTCAAAAAATTCTATTCAATTCAATCTATGCACACCTCTAGTAAAACATTAGAATATGGTTTGAAAAAGAAAAGAATATGGCAATTTCCAATTCCCAAGGAGAAGAACATGTGCTATGTTTAATCACCAAACAACAAACTGAAGGAATATTCTAGAGTATCCACGATGCCAATCGCAGAGTCTTGTACATTCATTGTCTCGGACATCTTCACTTTCCATTTTCGTTTTATAGTTTAATTTTGTCGTCGCAAATTCAAAGGCTTAAGAAAGTCCTCGTCCCCAAACTCAAAATATCCATCTGTTCTAATTTTTAGACCCAGGCCCATTTAATATGACCGCCAAAACCGCCTTCATTGGCCTTTAAGATTCTACTGTATAACACGTCTCTTTTCTTTCTCATTGGCATTTTGTGAAAAACCGGTATTACCCTTTTCCTTTCTTAACGAAAAATTGAAATAATTATCTGTCAATAGTCCAAAAATCGTACACCAAATAATTATTAGAGAATTCATATTATTTAGTTAAAAAAAAAGAGTATTCATATTTGATGTATTATGATTTAATCCGTTTTCGGATATTTATTAAATTTATTTATGAACAAAAAAAAAAGTTTTACTTTGTTACCCTAATACCGACGTATAATTGGTTGAATCTAAACAATTTTATATTTATGTAATTTTATAAACATACCATATTGAGAATTCATAAAAAACAAATTAATTTTATTTGAAATTTAATAAATTTGTAAAGTATCGTTAAAATTTAATTAAACATTTAAACTTATATAAATAGAATTGAATGAAGTGTTATGTTTAATAATTTAGTTATTTTACCTATTCTTAAGTAAGAATAATAATAATAGATTAAAAAGTACAAGAATTGAATACAAATTTAATAAATTTTAAACAAAATACATATTAAAAGTTACCTTAATTATTTTGCCTAATTCGATTAAGAACAGTACATAAATTATTAAAATAAGTGGATGGAATTCATATTCATATGTATTATACAAATAAAAGTTAACTTCAATCATATTTTTTGATAATTTATAAATTTTATAATTTATTTCTAAATTATATAAAGATAGTTGAATTCAATTTTTTTAATGGGATTTGCATTTGTCATTTAACATGACACAACAAACTTTTCTACACACACCATTTTGTGAGGCCCACACTTTTTGAAGAAAAAAAAGAGAGAAAATTACGACACACAAAACGAATCTATATAACATTACAACATAATTCTTATAATTTTTTTTTAATTATCATAAACGAAAGGACAAGATTGTCTTTCGATTTGAATGACACGCTCTTCACATTTTACAACGACATCAAGCTTTTATGACACGTCTCAATTGTCAATCTAAATCGTTGGTAATTGTCGCTTCTTAGGATGTTATAAATCTATCACTTTCTTTACTTGTCTATTGTATCTCTGTTCTGTTCCGTCTTCAACTCTTCTCTGAACCTGTGAACAATGGCGTCTCTCTCTAACCTCAGCCAACTCCGCTGCAAGACCCTGTCGGTCACCCTGCTCAACTCCGCACCCTCAATTTCGCCACCGTGCACCGTCGGGATTCGGAGCATACCGGTCGGAACACTGAGGATTTGGGCCAAATTTCCGAGGCCGATGCTGTGTGCCCGAGCTGCGACGAACAACGACGAGTGGGGCTCAGAGAAGGAGGACCCTTACACGGACGTGGCGGTGGCAGAGCCGGAGGAGAAACTGACGGAGACCGCGAATCTGAAGAAGGCTTTGGTTGATTCGTTTTATGGAACTGATCGTGGACTTCAAGCGAGCAGCGACACCAGGGCTGAAATCCTTGAGCTTATCACCCAGCTTGAAGCCAAGAACCCCACCCCTGCACCCACCGATGCCATGACTCTCCTCAACGGAAAATGGATTCTGGCGTAAGCTTCTTCTCAAAATTTACGGCAAAGGCTTTTTAATTGATGACACAACCACTCTATCTGTTAATTGATGCCTAGGTCAGGTTAAGCTTTTAGGACGGTACTTCCCATTGTTCACTCTTCAGCCTCACTTTATAGTTTGAATTTTTTCTATACATTTTTATTAGGAAAAATTTCAAAAATCTCTCTTTTTAAGTTTCTTTTATAATCACTTATCACTTTTCAAAATATTGAATTATTTATTCTCTTATTTATTATTTCTTTATTACTTACTTTTTTAACTTAATTTTTCATCCAAAAATAAAGTCAACCAAGTTAATTTTTTTTGAAAAATACCTTATCTACCCTTAAAATAAAATAAAAGAACACCGTAGAGGAATCTTTGATGTCCCGTGGCTGCGACTTGTTCACCTTATTTTCATCTGATCTGCCGTAGCCTATTTATTTATCACTATAGAGAATGTAAAGCACGACACTATACAACTCCGAAATAGGAGAGGAGAAAAATTGGTAAGAGTTGTCATATTGGATTTTGTTGATATGGATGCGTATCTCCTTTAGTCTGAAACTTGTGGTTCTGCAATTTATTTTCTACTGAATAATAGTTAATTGAATGCATTTTTTTTGAGTGAAAACAAATTTTAACATTTTCTCATGTGTAGGTTGGAAATCTTTTATACAAACATTTACAACGGTACCTTTTTTTTTTAGGGTAATTTTGGTATTTAAAAAAAATTAATTCTGTTAAATTTAGTTTTGAATGGAAAATTAACTTAGGAGATAAGTGATAAAGAAAATTTAAATAAAGAGGTAAATATTAGAAATTTTGGGAGGAGATAAGTGATTTTGAGTAAACTTAGAAGTGTTTTTGAAGTTTTTCCTTTTTATTAAGTGTTTTATCATGAGATGAGCCTTCTTATATTATAGAGATAAAAATCACGTGGAATCTATACTTTAGAAAAAGTGATATGTGAGATTCAATACCAGCACAAAAATTGAAGGATGTATAAAAAAATTTCTATTCTCGTGTTAGTATAAAACTCTTTTATTAATTCATTAATAGCAGTGCTATGTGGTCCTAGCGGAACTTAGCTAACTGGTTTTTGAATTTCTGAGAAAGCATCACATGTGATGGGAACAGTTGGTACAATCATTCAATTTCAATTAAGCTTTCTGACAGTGTTGTTTAGTTGACATAAAGGGCCCTTGGTGCCTTTTTCTTATTTTCGAGCTTACCATTAAATATTTAAATAGAATAGAAATATGGTGGATGAAAGTTGTATTGTATTGATTGTATTGAATGTACTGGTATATAATACTACTTACTATACATGAGGTCTTGAGGATTGACTTGATTGTGGTAGGTTCCTATTACCCATTGTTGGATTTGTTTTTCCGCAGGTATACATCATTTGCAGGTTTATTCCCATTGTTGGCAAGGGGAACACTGCCATTGGTCAAGGTAGAGGAAATATCTCAGACCATTGACTCAGAGAATTTTACTGTCCAAAACTCTGTACAGTTCGCTGGTCCATTGGCTACCACCTCCATTAGTACCAATGCCAAATTTGAAGTTCGAAGTCCAAAACGTGTGCAGGTTTGACAATCATATATATAAGAACTCACTGATGGAATGTTAAATATATAGCTAGCCTGTGAATTGAACATCTTTCTTGCATTGTGTTAGTTTAAGATATTGGTTTAGCTCCAGAAGTGCAATTTTTTAACCTTGCCTGTTATTCAGATCAAATTTGAGGAAGGCATCATTGGCACTCCACAGCTGACAGACTCGTTAGTGATACCAGAAAATGTGGAATTTCTGGGGCAAAAGATTGACCTCACACCTTTTAAAGGCATACTTACGTCTGTCCAAGACACAGCCTCATCGGTTGTGAGAACAATTTCCAACCAGCCTCCTTTGAAGATCCCAATTTCCAACAGCAATGCTCAATCGTGGTTACTCACTACATACCTTGACGAAGAACTACGCATCTCAAGGGGTGATGTTGGTAGTGTGTTTGTTCTTGTCAAGGAAGGAAGCTCTCTTTTGACAAGCTAAACACACCAGTTTGCTTGGTCATTATATAATAACTAGTTTTATATTTATAAATAAGCAACATGTCTGTATTAGATATGTAATTCTCAAGATGCATATATATAGACAGGACAGTGTGAATGCCGTGCTGCGTCCTGTCATGATCGATGTTTGTTAAGTGTGAAATTTTATGAGCACAAGCAAGAAGCATGAACTAGCTTCAAGTGATATGTTGTCAACTTTTCTACTTTCATTCCAATATATTTGGTAAGGTGATTAGAATGGAAATTAGTACTTATTAAGGAATAAACATTTTCACTTTTTTGGGAATAAACATTCCATTGCAAAGTGAAGAAAAAAATAGTTCAATCTATCCGGTCCGCATGATTAATGCGAAAATCTTTTTTGGGCCAAACCATGTTTTCTTATGCCTAAAAAATAATTGATAGAGGCCGATAGAACCCAAGTCGGCCCGGAGCTCAAAAGTTTTGTTGGCTCAAATACGTTCAAATTGAACCCATTTATCCTTATGAATAGCGTTTTTTTATTTTATTTTTTGGTAAAACATTTTCTTTTTTAGATGGAAGGTAGCTCATAAAAAGGTGGGTCTTGTAAGTTTTTTTTTTTTTTTTTTTTACAAATAGTGGATCCACAAATTTGTTTCTATGACATGAGATAAATTAACTCTTTAATATGAGATTAATAACACCCTTATTTATTTAAAGCATAAACATGAAAATGAAATAGAGTTATTCTTTTATGGGTAAGGGATTTCTCCACCGGAGATAAAGTTATATCCAGTGAGCTTAAAATGACGTCGTTTTGGAGCAGAAATTAAGGTGTTTTTGTAATTATAATATATTACAGGGTTATATTATTCTTTGTCATTATAATTTTTTAATCTTATAACCCAAAACGATGTCGTTTTGCGCTCACTAAAGATAACTTTATCTCCAGTGACTGAAGAAATACTTTTCCCTTATTTCATTATTAGTTCTTATCAATTACAAAATTATGACTAGTAATGAGTCGAGGCTACTCTTAGATCTAGGGGTGTTCAAAATGTCCAAAAGAACCAAACCAATCCATAACTAAACTGCTCCGCATTTAAAAAACTGGTTTTATATACAACTGTATTTTATTTTATAAACTGGTTATCTACCAAATCATAAAAAAATTGGTTATTAATAGTTATCCATGACCAAACTATTATACTTTCTCCTAGTTATCCTTCCTCCAATGAAGAGCTTGCCATGATCTGATTCCATTTGTTTTGATATCAACCATAACCAGTTAACCATGATTCCATTGAACAGATTCAAACAAAACCATTCATTTTGATGGGACAAAAGATGTGGATTGGGATGAAACCTAAACAAATCTGCTGATAGCAAAGCAAATTAGAAACAAGGATTCAACATTAGCATTTTCCCAAAATCACAGATGTGGCTTCAGCATTCCACTTTCCTACAACAAATATTGCAATTTAAATGCATCTTATAACGTTTCATTATATAATATATATTTTTCTATTCAGTTCAACACCATCTCAGTAAAACCATAACCATACATATCTTCTTAAACCAAAACTCACCAGTTATGCTTCTTCTCTTTCCATAACCTCCAAAAGTTTTTAGCCATGAGTCCTACATGGTTTTACCCAAAGACAAAAATCACCACCAACGTTAAGAAAATCAACGGAAATTTTGAATTTATTATAAAACCGGTTTTGAATTTGATAACCGATTTACGATTAATAACCGATTTTGATTTAAAATCGATTTTGAATTAAAACTAGTTTAAAATCGATTTTAACTCAAAACCGATTATAAACCATAAACTAGTATTGAAACCGGTTTCAAACCGGTTCGGTTTGAAAACCAAACCGTTTAAAACCAGTTCGGTTTGAAAATCAAACTGTTTAAAACCGGTTCAGTTCGTTTTTTCAAAACCGGTTATGAACCGTTTTATGCACACTCCTAGCTAGATCTGCTCGTTCATTAATAGTTTGTAAATTTTTTTACTCATTTATCAAAATTGTAAATCATTCTGCCACTTAACACCTACGCTAAATCATAAACTGATGAACCCATGTGCTTCTGTGATGGGCAAGAACATTTTACATTTTATTCAAGGTGTTTGCTTTAGCTGTTGGATATTGTTTGTGAGAAATTAGTACATAGTCATAACCTATTATAAATACATGAAACAACCGTTAACACTTTGCATCAAGACATTTAATTTTGCACCAAAGGAGCACACGGGCGATAACGACTAAAACATGAGGAGCTTATTAGAAATCTATCTGTCTATATATTAAGGGTCCATTTAGATGGGCTTTTGAAAAAAAATATTTGTATGAGTTGCTTTTTTTAAAAATTAAAGTTATTTTGTGTTTAGATGTAATATTTGAAAAGTACTTTTAAGTAAAAATATCATTTGGATGTTAAAATAAAAAAGTACTTTTTTAATATAAAATTACTGTTATGCCCTTTCTTTCTTTTTTCTTTTTTTACCCTTTTCTATTTTCCATCCCGTTGTATGTTCTTCTTTTTTCATCCTGTATTTGGTTCTGGTTTCTATTTCTTTTTCATGCTTCAATTTTTCTGGTGAAATTTACGGATCTCGCCACATGTTTCTTTTTTAGGATGTGAGATTCATAGTTATTCATGGTTTCTTTTTCAATGTTATTTGATAAATTCTGCTCAACTTTGAACTCCAAACCCCAACACGCTAAAAGTTTTATTGATCAAAATCACACTCTTGTGGATGCATGTGAACTGCCATTGATGGACCTTAACGGTCTAAAAAGTTCTAATGAAAGTGAAAGACTAGCAATATGCATGGCAACATCAGAATATGAATTACCCTTTTCAATTTTCAATACTTAGCGACTTCTTCGTATATCTCTCTCCCTCGAGTCTCGCCAAAAACCCAACCATGGTATACCTCTCTTCTCTTTCATCGATCGAAGCCATCTCAGATCTCTCTCTTTTTTCATCCTCAACCTTGGAAGTTTGCTGCGCTGAGACAGAATACTCGAACGGAGAGTCACGGTCAAATTTTAGCTTTTTGCTTCTCCTTCTTATAAAAGCTAAAAAATTTAGCTTTTCAGAAAAGCAAGATTTCTTCTTTTTCGTTGGCTTCTGCTTTTATTGAAAGCACTCATCTAAACATAAGTTTTTCTTCTAAAAGCACTTATTTTTTTAAAAAAAGCAGCTTCTAGGGAAGGAGAAGTCAATCAAAACAAGCACTAAAAAGGGTCCTCTTAATCAAATGATGATAGCTAGGTTGACCTTCTCTAGTATTATATGTGAAAGTGGTTCAAAATTTTAATTTCAGAACTCATCCCGAATCAGATCAGTCGCGAAATATTAACTGAATAGAATATCTTAAAAAAAAAAAAAATTGCTCTCGTAGCAAAAGATTTCTCTTGTTCTACATTATCAAATGTTTATTATCTCAACTATCTAGGTTATTGCTTTCCGTCGCTTTTATACTTTTAATGCAATATAGAAAATGATGTTATCTCAATAACACGAGACAACTACTATTTTGGACTCATTATGAATTACCTCTCTTTGTTCATGATATATGCGCCGACTTTAAACTTGGATATGTTGGATTCATTAGTTCGTGAATTGGCTTTATGTTTAAATAGTTAGAAATTTTTTAAGAATAACGACAACAATAATAATACTTCAATTGATTATATATAAGCATTTGATTTTATTTTCAGTTTGACTTACTTATGTTTAACTGAACATACACAATCATAATAGATTTTATATTGAGTGGCAAAGTTGAGCTTAACTAGTTGAAATTTAAATATTTAATTAATATAAAGCTAGAAGTTAAATCATTAAATTGGGTACATTGACCAAATTAATACAGTTTAAAACTAAATATTAAAGAAATATAATTTGAAAATTATTTATCGCAGTAATATAATTTAATCACATGTCCCACATTTGTGAAACTCACATGGTCAAAAGTAATCAAATTATATATATATATATATATATATATATATATATAATTTTAAATATTTCTAATTCTTGTTTTTTAATTTTATCTAAATTTATAAATTTTTACACACTACACAAAATACCCATTAATTTCTTATCATGTGACTCATGTTAATAAAATTAATATATAAAAGGATCAAATGAGAATATACGCTTGCGTCGAATTCACACGTGACAGATCCACCAACTTCAGCGGTGTCACCTTCCAATCACTAACGTTAGGTGAGCTCTTGAAGCGGGTGAAGGGTGTGCTTAACTCAAAGCATGAATCACTTCATCATATCACCAACCATGATCTGTTTATTTATTTATTTTTAATTTGGGATTTTTTTTAATATTATTATAATCTCTTTTAAAGCTATGTAAGATTATATTAAATTTTATATTCATTTTAATACAATGTAATAATTCAAACATTACAGTATTTTAATACAATATTATTATATTTCTCTAATTTTCCAATGTATAAGAAATTTAGTACACTATTTTGAAATAACAATATGATTAATAATAATAGAGATTACAAACGGGTTGGTTTGCTTCGATGTGTTAAAGGTCATTTTTTTTTTATAATCTGGAGGTATCCCCATTTAACCTCCTCCGATCACCTTGTCCTCGGGATACGGCTCTGTAGGCTAGCCCTTCATTGAAATAACGAGTGTATTGAGCTTCGCTACCGGAAGAAGGATGAGACTAATCTCCCTATTCGAGGAAGGAGGCACATTCTCTGGCCCTCAAAGATTTTTCAAGAATTTGTTTGAAGCAGAGTTTGAACCCCTGACTCAAGCAAACCCTTAGAAGCTTAGTTGACTGAGCTCCCGTCAAGGGTTAAAGGTCATTTTAAAACGAAACGAGGTAGATTAACTTATTTTTTAGTTTACAAAAAAAAAAAACTTATTTTTTAAATATGAGTTAGAAAAGTCAATTTACCTTGTTTTAAGTTAAACCGAATAATTTACAAAAGAAAATCAAATAATAAAAAAATAATGAATCAGACAGGTTAATTTGCCCAACTCATTATAAAAAAAAAAGATTCGACCTGAACCAGTCAGACTCATCACAAAGTACAAGTTAATAATATGACTTATCAGTTCTAGCATATTAAACGAGTTTATCTCTCGAGTCTAACTCACTTTATCATTTTTAACAAATAACATACACTATTTTAAAAGAACGTCAAGTATTAGATAAATCACACAACCATTAAATCATTACAATTTATATGAAAGGCGTATATAATTTTGACAACGAACAATGACTAAATCGGTGACAAATACCGACGGAAGCCGTGAGATCACCAAAGTTCAAACCATTAACAAATCTTATATCCAAAATTTTCTTAAAAGAAAAGACCCCATTTCTAGATTTTGTCTTTGGTATGACATAATAATAATAATAATAATAAAAAAAAAAGTGTTTGTCATTTAAAATGACATAAAATTATATCATTTTAAGAGAGAGTTAAACATAAGAAAATATTTTTTTATTTAAAATTTAACTTAAAAAAAATCATCAACTTTCTCTCTTATGATTTTTATTCCTTGTGTCTATCTTTCTCTTAAAATGACATAACTTATATCGTTTAAAATGACAAACATCAAACCCATAATAATAATAAGGAAAAAGTTTATAAACCACTCTTTGGTTTATTTTTTTATTACTTACATCCTTATGCTGTTTTTTTATTAATTATTCTATTGTAATTTTTTTTTCATTTAAGTCTACCTTTAACACTATTAGTAATTAAGTCAACTTATTCATTTCACTCTTATTTTATGTTTGGTAAAATCTGACCCAAAAAACAAAAATGGTCAAAACTCTCCACTATAATGAATCGACATCTTACCCGCCATGGTTACAGGTGGGAAAGTGGGTGGTCCGCCCTGCTCCATCCCTCCCGTCATTAACCGGTCAAAAAATGAGCCAGTTCGTCTCGTTCCGCTTTTAAAAGTGAGCTAAAAAATTCAGCTCGTCCCGTTCCGTTTGGCGGATTGGGCGAGTTGGCCCGCCAACCCGAGCCTATTTTGCACTGATCCGTCTCGGCCCGTCTATGCCCACCATCAACCCGCCAAAAAATAAACTCGTCCCGCTCCATTTTTGAGATAGGTTAAAAAACTCACCCGCCCTGCTCCGTTTAATGGATTAAACGGGTTAACCCGCAGAGCTGAACCCGTTTTGCTAGCTCTAGCTATGGTAAACTAGACGAGGCTCAAAGATTTGTAGAAATGAGTTCTTCCATACAGCAGAGTGGCAGAGGCAATAGGACCTTCACCGTTGAATGATTTACAGGTTGTTAAAACTCTTAAACCATGTTTATTAAATAGTTACTGGCAGCTGATTAAAGTGACATTGTGCTATTTGTGCAGGCATTAAACTTTCGGCTAAGGATCCATGTATTTATTATTGGATTAATATATATTCAGAGGTCCGTGGTGTGATGGAGCATACCATTCATCATATATCGCTCTTTTTTTATATTTGCTTTGAACATTACTATTGCCCGTTTTATCACATCAGTAAAATGAACAAATTACTTCAATTATTAATTGTGTTAAAGATAATTTTGGATGATAAAAATCACAAAAATTAATTAATTAAAAAAATATATATATATATATAAAGATGCAAGTAATAAAAGAATAAAATCATTGGTTGATGAACTTTCCATAATAATAATGATAGGCTAATACTTTTTTTATGTTATATGAAATAGCATTATCTGTATAGATATAATTATGTGAGTCTCACAATTTAAAAAGAAAAATATTAACTCAAATTTTAATATGTGTATAACATGATATAAATTTTTTCATGTAACATAAAAAAAATTATTTCTAATAATAATAATAAGGTAACAAAGCGGATCGGGATATTCATTTTTCGGGTTTGAAAGACTTTCTGCGTCCGCTTTTCAAACCTACTTCTCTGCTTTTTCAACTTTCTAGATTTACGCTTCGCTTCACCACACACACGCACTCTCTCTCTCCCCCTGTGTGTCTCCCCAAATGGCACCATTTCTAGTACCTAACGGTGGATTCGCCCACGGTTCACTCACCGGTCGATTCGCCTCCGTATACAGTGAGGTCCAAAGCAGCCGTGTGGACCACGCGCTCCCTCTTCCCTCAGTTCTCAAAAAGCCTTTCACCATTGTCGATGGTCCCCAAAGCTCTGCTGCTGGGAATCCAGGTCAATCTCCTTCCTTCATATCGATCCATATTTGATCTGTTTCTGTAATGTCTTTTACTCTCTATTCACTGTCAATGTGCGTGTGTGTGTGCAGATGAGATCGCGAAGCTGTTTCCGCATTTGTTCGGTCAGCCTTCAGCAAAGTTGGTTCCGAGCGATTCGCACTTGGTGCAGCCCGATCACAAGCTGAAGATTGGTGTGGTTCTCTCTGGAGGCCAGGCTCCTGGAGGTCACAACGTCATTTCTGGAATCTTCGGTAATGCTCATTCTAAATCCAACTCAATCTATTGTTTCTTCTTCTTTTTTGCATCTAATAATAGCTAGATATGTGTAGTTATTACGTTTTTTCAACTCTTATTTTTTTGTTTTCCGTCTTAGATTACCTGCAAGAGCGCGCAAAAGGAAGCACATTGTATGGTTTCAGAGGTGGTCCTGCTGGCATCATGAAGTGCAAATACGTTGAACTCACCTGTGACTATATTTATCCTTACAGAAATCAGGTCCGTTTTTTCTTTTTCACAAGTTTTTGGAACGTAATCATGCTTGTTTAGCTGAATTTTCGAAATGGTTGTTGTGGATTTATTTGAAATAAAAAAGTTTATTTACCCGTCACCTTGATTTTTTTATTTTATTTTATTTTTTTATATATATATCATGACTTCTGGTGCTGTCTGAGCGTGATGCATTTGAGATTTGACATGCTTCTTATGCCTGTTCATACATGTGAATATTTTAGCTTGTCAAGAACTGTTACGCCTCTTTTTTTTATGTCAACGATCACAAGATTTTGATATATGATTATAACAATTTCTGTTGGCAGGGTGGCTTTGACATGATTTGCAGTGGGAGGGACAAGATTGAAACTCCAGAGCAGGTGAATGCCGTGAGGCTACATATTTTCTATATGATAATACATTTGAGCTCTTATATATTTTCTTTAAGTCTGAGGAGTAATTCAGTTTACTTAAATGGTATAGTTTAAACAAGCTGAAGAAACAGCACAGAAGCTAGACTTGGATGGGCTTGTTGTTATTGGTGGAGATGACTCAAACACAAATGCATGCCTCCTTGCTGAGAACTTCAGGTTAGTTTTATGAAATTTTATTTATGGCAGTCTGTGTTCTAGGAAGCTTTGTTAATGAAATGGTGTTTTCATGTCGGTTTATATTAATCTTCAAGGTCCTTTTACCAGTTCGTCTATTATGTAATTAGTTTTGTATATACATATGAAGAGAAATAATTTCCGTTTTTTGAGTATGTAAAGTGTTCCTGTTTGTTTACTAGTTTAATATGGATTTATGCAGGAGCAAAAACTTGAAGACACATGTGATTGGATGCCCTAAAACCATTGATGGTGATTTGAAAAGCAAAGAAGTTCCCACAAGTTTTGGGTTTGATACTGCATGCAAGGTGAATGAACATATGCAGTCAGTCTTCACTGTGCATTTGTAATTTTGTTTGCTCTATTCTAGCCCGTACATTTTTAAACATTTCAAATATGTGATTGGTTTATAAGTGATTGCAATAGCATTATGATATTTATAAACTCTCTTTCCTAGTATTAGTTCTAAATATTAATTTGTAATGCATATTTTTTTATTTGCTAAATGTTGTTAGATAATATATACCTTTTTGGGTACATGTTGCATGATCACAGGACCTAACTATTCTCACATTTTAATGTTAATTTAATACAGATATATGCAGAAATGATTGGAAATGTTATGATAGATGCCCGGTCAACTGGAAAATATTACCATTGTAAGTATATGGAATTGAGAAACCCTTTAGATCTATTTAGCTATAAAGACTGAAGAATTTGCAGAGTTGCACATACCAATGTTAATGCATCACCTTGGACATTGATGTTGTTACTATTCTGTACTGCTTGTATTGCTTTCCACTTCTTTCAACATGTGCAGATTTACTTTTTTAAACTTTTTTTGCTTTAGAACCACTGCTATCATTTGCTCTTATTGTATCATCTGAAGACCTGAGGTCATATTTTCATTTCTTTTGTTTGAAATTGCAAAGACTGCCATCTACATAACAAAACCATTTTTCAATACCCAAATGAGGAATATTCTATCTCCTTTTATTATAAATTATTCATGATTTTTATCCTTGTCTTCACCCCTTTGTTTATATTCAAGCAAAATATTGACAAAATGCTTTTGTCTATCCTTATCTTCACCCCTTTGCTTATATGATATCACCCATTTCATTCTACTTGAGTTAGAAATGCCTTGTTCATACATCATCTTTGCCTTATGTCAACATTTCTCCTGTTATGTGATTTTTCTACTCTTGATTCTTTTGAGTTGTATTAGTACTCATGCTCTTGTGCTGTTGAAGGGTTTATTGATTTTCATGGCATTTTATTGAGTCATTGGCAAGTACATAAATATTAACTATATACTATACCCTCAAGTACGTGTGTGTGTGTGTGTGTGTGTTCATTATTTTTTCGCTCGATTTCAAATAATAAGTAAGACATACCATCATCTGTCTGCAGTTGTGCGGCTTATGGGGCGTGCAGCTTCACACATTACGCTAGAATGCGCTTTACAAACTCATCCAAACATTACTATTATTGGAGAAGAGGTTTGTCATATAAGTTTTTTATCAGTTTATCTAGTGTCTGTACACTCTTGGGGTGGATGAAATCCAAACAAGATGATTTCCTGTTGATCTTGTGATTAAATTTTGATAATTGGTCAGGAGCCCTTATCAAAAAACTTGATTTCACCTGTAAATATGCGTTTCAGGTTGCTGCAAAGAAGCTGACGCTGAAAAATGTCACAGACTATATTGTAGATGTTATTTGTAAAAGAGCTGAAATTAATTATAACTATGGGGTCATTCTTATCCCTGAAGGTCTAATTGATTTCATTCCTGAGGTATCTATCCCTCTGCATAAACAGAGCTTATTTACCAGTGTTTTTTCTCTTTATGAGCTTGTGATTATGTATTGGTGCTGTTAATATACAATCAGTATAAAAGAGCACCCTTGCTGATGATGCTCATTTGTACATGGTGTTGTGCTATTTGCAGGTCCAGCATCTTATTGCAGAACTCAATGAAATTCTTGCCAATGATATTGTGGATGAGGGTGGGTTATGGAAGAAGAAACTCACTGATCAGTCATTGAAGCTTTTTGATTTATTACCTCAAGCAATCCAAGAACAATTGATGCTTGAAAGAGATCCACATGGAAATGTTCAGGTGCCTAATGTTGTTATAGTGCTATCTTGCTATGTATTTGATCCCTGTATGCAATTTGAATCATCAATGTTAACATTGTTTTATTCCCATTTAGGTTGCCAAGATAGAAACAGAGAAAATGCTTATTCAAATGGCTGAAACTGAGTTGGAGAAGAGAAGGCAAGAAGGCAAATATAAAGGCTTATTTAGAGGGCAGTCTCACTTTTTCGGGTATTTTATCTAATTTTGATATTATTATTTCGAGCTATAAATTCCAATACATATTGCTGTGAAACAAAAAAAGGTTCTAGAGACATGCTTTGTTATTCACCTTTAACTTGGATTAAAATTTCTATTGATCATATATACGTTAAGTGTGATATGACTTCATTGTTAGAATTTGAAGTTACCCACACTTGTTTAAAATATGCAGTTATGAAGGGAGATGTGGTTTGCCAACTAATTTTGATGCTACTTATTGCTATGCTCTGGGTTATGGTGCTGGCGCCCTCCTTCATAGTGGGAAGACTGGACTAATATCATCAGTTTGTGCTTCTCTTAATGCCTTTATCTTTTGATTATCAAATTACATATTTCTTCTAGATTGATGTTGATAATTGATTGTTTTTTGAAATTGTTTATTTCATAATAGTTAAGTCATCAACTTAATTCTTGAATTTGCTATAATATTTTGATCAGGTTGCGAATTTATGTGCTCCAGTTGAAGAATGGGTTGTTGGTGGAACTGCACTCACCTCACTGATGGATGTGGAGAGGAGACACGGTACACATTCTGATCTATGGGAGCTTTTGCTTTACCCAACGGCTATTAACTGAAATATATGCTTCCAGGCTTACCTTTCGATACAATGTCGTAGCAAAACTTAGATCCATAGTTATACCGTACTCTGTTGCTAGTGTAATTGACAATCAAATGCATTTGAAGTTAGAAATATTTTCTTTTATGTATTTTTGGACCATCTCCACGATTGATTAAAAAACCGGATTGAACCAGTCGGTTTGATCGGAAAACTGGTAAATCGGACAGGTGGTTTGTTCAAACAACTCTAAAACCGGACAACCAGAGACTGGTCAAAAACGGGTTTAGAACCGATTTGAACTGCTTTATTTATTTTCTAATTCAAACAATTATTTTTTGAGCCAAATAAAGACCCAACGCCAAGCTATAAATGCCCACTTATGAGACTTATATATGGGTATTTTGCCTCATTATTAGTTTTTTTTCTTCTTGCAGGATGTATAACATGATCTTTTATGCTAATTTAAAATTTTAACTAACTTGATTTCTTATGATTTTATGTTAGTTTGGTAATTAATACATTAAAATATATATTTAATTATCATCCGTTCGACCATGGTTCAATCACGGTTTGTCCAGTGAACTGTAAACCAATTCCTTCACTGGTCTGGTTTCAAAAACATCGGTTTTTACAACCTCTTGTTATATTAAAATCAGAAAGTTTGTATGTGCTGCATTTAATATGAATGCTTTCTCCATTGTTCTGCTGTTTATGCATATGAAATTTTCTTTGCAGGTAAATTCAAGCCTGTGATCAAGAAGGCAATGGTGGAGCTTGAAGGTATATATATTCATAAAAACTTTAATAATCCACTAAAAGTAGCAAGTGAACTGTGTTTTTCACCCATGTTGAATTAGAAAAATGAAATGAAAGGGACGGTGAAGTGTTTACTTTTGGGTTCATAATGATATACAAAAGATTAACTCGTTATTTCTTTTTACTAATCACCATGACATACTTGGACATCCAAACTTTAGTGGCTTGATCCAGATTGTCAGTTATTTTGAAATATAGATTTTTCAATATCGGATGCTATAATGATTGCACTTTTAACATCAGTTCCAATTATCTTGGATAGTGAATGACTATGTTCCATATTGCATCATTCAGGGGCACCCTTCAAAAAGTTTGCCTCCTTGAGGGACGAATGGGCACTGAAGAATTGCTACATCAGTCCAGGTATGTATTGACTGTTATTTCATCTCTTGTTTCCGCTGCCTTTGCTTATGAAAAGTCCTGTTCCTTTCCCAGTTTATATTGACCTTTAAGTTGACTAGAAAACAGTGCTATAGGTTTAAATCTACTTCTATGTTGAACTGGAGTTCGTTTACATAAGTTCGTTGCTCACGATGATGATTTTCATTATAGGTCCAATTCAGTTCACTGGCCCAGGATCCGATGCAGTTAGCCACACTCTACTCTTGGAGCTTGAAGCACAAGCTTAGGCGTACTATGAGGTCCTTGTTTTGACGGTGGCAATTCATGTTGTTGTTTGGGATCTTGCAAATATATTTGATCTGAGACAAGCTAGGGTTTTTGTGTACTTTAGAAATTTACCCTTTCGCTGGTTGAGGTGCATGAATTGATAAACTCTTATGTTGCATTCTGGCATCGGCAATTTATGTTCATGACAGTCATTGCATAGTTTAAGTTGAAAGTTCTTATTTGCCTGATACTGGTTATTGAGGTAATTGCATGTCTGCTCCAAGCTTAGATTACCAGTCTCTGAGCAAGATGCATGGCAGAAAAAATCCACTTCCCACTGAAATTCATGACAGCTATGGAAATTTTTTCTCCATGCTTCTAGGCCAATTGTACTCTTGTAATATACACATTTTTCACTTTTGTAATTTTTTGTGGGAGTTAAATAGGAGGTGCAAAATACGTGGATAGGAAAAGGGTAAAGGATTCGGAGAGCCACTCCTGTACAGTTCTCCATACATCAATTAACTGGAATAAAAATAAAAATAAAAGGAGAATGTGACCTAGTAGAAAGTCAAAATTTTGGCATCATTGCATAGCATCGAATTCTTGATTTTCTTTTTAAGGCATTGAATGTTAACTACATTTTACTGAATTGTTTTTACGGTTTGGATTATTATCATTTTTTACACGTGAGAAAACTGTCGTTTGAGGATTTAAACAAAAAGTTTTTTACTTTTTTTATATTGTCTCGTTGTAACTTGTAAATCGTTATATCAAAATTTGAAACAATTTTCTAAGCTTGTGAATAAAAAGTATTCTTTGGTCACTCTATCCACGGATCAGGATTCAGGATTAACTCTGGAGGATCTACGTCATTAAAATAAATAATTTTAGGATGAAATATTAAAATAAAACCTGCAGTGATGATAAGCAGCCATTAGACCTTGAATAACACGTCCTGCATATATTAAACGAAGTGAAAGATCCTGCTTCCTCTTTCCATTTCTCCATCTCTTAAAATCGAACTTGCACTCCTGCCATATCCATGGGAGGGGGTACAGGAGAAAAGAAACCAGAAAGGCTCCGAAAAAATTAAACATACTATGGGCCGTTTGGATGAGATTTCAAAACAATAATTTTTTATGCCTTATTTATTTTAGAAGTATTTTTTACAAATGTTAAAATTATTTAAATTTTGAAAAAAATAGTGGTTTTAAAAAAAAAAATTTAACTTTTAACTTTTTTTTTTAAAGCTACAAATTTTGACTTTTTTATGACTTTTATTTTTTTCAAAACAGACATTCAAATGAATTTTGTAGTAGATTTTTTTTTTCTTAAAAAAAGCTCATCCAAACATGCCTGTATACTTGGATTCATTGCAGAAAAATATTGAACAAATCGTACTCCTGTCTTCTGGTTTTGGGCCGAAAACTTTTAATTTTTTGGTCAGTTGTAGACTTGTAGCTATTTGGACTTAAATTCTCAATTCAAATCTCCATTCATCTTTGCCCAAGTGGCATAATCTATTACGTGAGTGAGTTTTACGGAAAGGATGATCTGTTGGATCATATATGAAGGTGGGAATCATAAGATTCAACGATCATTATCAAAATATATGTATTCAACATTTAACAATAATGATGACTTGGGTTACTACTTTCTAGGGTGATCACATGCACCTTGTAAGACAAGACGTAGACGATCAAACGTGGTGGGGCTTGGAATTGCGTCAAGGAGAAGGATATTTTGGCGCTGGTCTATGACTTTAGGTCGTAGTAGATGTACGCGAACACACATCTATCTCTCGCTTTCATTCGCTTATAAACATTCCTATATACAGAAACAAAACAAGGGTGACTAAAAAGAATACTGGTTCAGTAGCATGACTTAATTGGTAAGCATGTAAATAATGAAGTAACTTGAAAGGTTTGTGAAATTGAACCACGCACGTGACCTAACTTATGTGAACTTCTGAGGAATTGGTATACGTCTATATGATGGCTGACTGTGATAATTTGGAAGCAAATAAAATAAACACAAGCAAGCATTCAATTCTTCTCTATGCTTTCTGCTTCGCTTATTTTCTTTCCTTTTGCACCAAATTGGCTTATGAGTGATGTGTTGTTCTGTTAGTCTCAGCTTTGTAGATACAAAACTGAAAACGACGGCCACTTAATTTTTCTCTTGACGACACTGCATGCCCTGGTTTATCCTTTGGCTTTGAAGGGTACTTTTTAAATGACAGCCTCGATATTTCACATGCTATGCTTATTTGCCCATTTTGGAATGTTCCACTTACGACGTTATGGAACAAAGCCTGACAAGTGTAACAATCAATTTCTCTCCCACCTAGGGAGAACTTTAAGATGTTCTTGTCATCATATCTAAAAATTTGCTAGGCGCACAAAGACCAAATTTTAAAACACAGAAATAATAGATCGATGCAGAGTTTAAAACTATACATAAGTACCAATCAAGTCAAAAGTGGTTATAAATACTTAAAAGGGTTTTATAAGAGTTGTGTTGTAGAAAAAGTAATTCTGTTATGTTATAGAGATTTGTTTTGCGTGCCGATTTTTTTTTTTTTTTTTTTGTTGTTGCGGGTTCCACAAAATGTTGTGTGTGTAAGAAATTTTTTGTGGATCATGTTAAATGATAGATGATAAACCCATACTTAAATTGTAAATATTATAATTATTATACTTTTCTCTCTTATAAATATTTAAACTATAATATTTTTATTTTTATTTTTAAGAAATGATACTTCAATTTCCTTGGGAATTAACGTGTTACACTCTAATTCAATTTAACGGGAACAACCGTTTAGGAGTAGCTTTTCTCTCTTATAGACATACTTTTGAAACTCACTTATCGATTTTTATTATTATTTTTTGAATAAACTATATGTATTCTTTGTGGGAGGCAAATATCTACGTCATGGTGGGATTAACTCTTCCTAAGAGAATTTTTTGCATTTACAAAGACTTGAACCTAATACTTTATTTATGAGGAAGCAAACATGTACAACTTGAACCAAAACTTATTGATTTTAAGACTTTATAAAATGAAATAAAACTTTTGAATAAAGGCATAAAGTCGATAATACGTTGTCCAAAATTAGCTACTAAAAATAGAGAATCACAAAATAAAGAAAAAAAAATATAGTTTAATGTTTGTCTTTGTTGCAGAATTTTTTTTTCTGTCATACTCACATAAAAGTGAGTGACTCCCACTATTTTTTTTCTCTTTCTTCTCATTCTAATGGAACACACTTATTTTTATGTGAGTGTGACAGAGAAATTTTTTCAATACCAAAAATAGAAATATTTTTTTCCAAAAAATATTTATGCGAGACTTGTTTATGATTACTCATTACTGTTAACAAATTTTGATTATATTAAAGAGAAATTGTTTTCTCCAACTGTAGGAGATAATTATCTCATGTCACAAAGATATAAAAAGACATGCCTGCAATTTCTTCTTTTTTTTATTTTTCTTTAACTTGTGGCTCCACATTTCTTATTAGTGTAGAAAAAAAATTTCTCACATGTTAAATGAGAGAAGTATTACGCTATATTAAAATACGCTAATGTTTATGACATTTTCATTAGTAGAAAGTAGTTTTTTTTAAAAAAAAAAAATTATAATTTGAATATCTAATAAAAGAAAGTAATTTAGGTTAAGACATAAGTGGATGGCTTGAACAAATCAATGTTATGTCACAAAAAGTATAAGAATTGAGTATATAGCTAGCTACACAGGGAATGTTACCTTTTGGCTTTTGCCCTTAATTTCGTGATCTTTCCGAACAAATAGCATGATTGACAATATCATCATGATGACTTTTCTTTCGGGTTTATTTCCCCTAAGCAATGGTTATTGACTAGTGATTTACTGAGAAATGAACATTTACCACTTTTTTTTGGGGTCAACTCTCAAGCAATTTATAAAGCCCTTTTCCAAGAGGAGTATTACAGTTAAGAGAGGGAGGGAAGGTAAGTTAAAGGAGATCAATTTCTCCGTCTTGCTTATAAAGGGTAACTTCTTTTCTTCCAATTACACATGCATGCATATAAACCAATCTCTGACAATGACCCTTTTTCACAGGATTAAAACATTAGAACTCTAAATGCTAAAATTAATAGCTAATAATAGATGTAAGATTTACATTAGCATAAATTAATATTTTTAGTTAATATATATAAATATATATGTGTGTGGATTTAATATTTCTCCTGCAAAGAGAACATTTTTGGTTTAACAAAGTTCTTTTTTCATTTCATGTAAAGAGAGAGTGTACCATAGATTAAAAAGGGAAAAAAAAAATTATGTATAAATACGAAAATGATCTTTTTATAAATTTTTGCAAATTACACTATGTGCTCCCGAAAGTACATAATATAACTTAGTATATTTTCGGGAGTACATAGTATAGTTTGTAAATAAAAAATTTATAAATATAATCCTCCTTATATAAATAATATTATTTTTTAATCTTAAATAAATCTCTTCGTAAGTCGCCAAAACTTACACCACTTCAAAAGCTAGCTCAAAGGGTGAGAGTGCCCAAGACCTTATAAACTCCACATTAGTTGCACATACAACCAATGTGAGACTATATATCTCAACACGCCCCCTCACACGAGAGCACATTGGACTTGAAGAGTGGACAATGCAACAGGCCCAGCTTACCTGTGCTAAGAAACGCCACAAGAGAAAGTGGGGGACGTCGAGGCTCTGATACCATGTAAAGAACCTTGGAATATGCTATCATATTAACCCAATCACCAAACTGCTGCTTCTGCTTCTTCTTCTTTTCTTTTTTATTTATGTTACAAACATTGTACTTCAAGAGGGATTGGAAAATATAATTCCACTGATGGCAGAAATTATTTATTTCACTTCTTCCTTGTCCTCTTGCAATAAATACTAAAGAGCAATGCTATGGACTATAGTACGTATATTTCCTTTTCTCACATCTTGCATGAGTAGCAACATCAAAGAGTAGGTATGCAAAAGTTTTGGTGAGGCCACCATCAATTGTATGCTGAAAATTATACAAGTGAGGGATACAAGAGAAAGTGACGTGTGACTGAGTAGGTTTATTCAAAATAGAAATCGCATAACAATCAAGAATATTAAATCACTTGTCCAGAACAACCTGCCCGAAATTTTCTCTTAAAGGAA